ACTCTTTCCTGCAAGACAAATGAAATTTGACTGAATATATTAAATGTTTGAAGCAACAAATTGGATGTTGGGTTCTACTTTCAGGGCACTCTCACGTTTTCAGAGAATAAATGTAGTAACTGTCTGTCGTCCAGGCTGCCCACACATTCCCTAACATATATTTATTTACGTTTTAATGCATTACATTCAGTAAATTGTTGACTCCATGAATGCAGCTGCATTTTTTTGCCCTTCAAAGGAAGTAAAGAGGAATGTAATTCCAACAAACAAAAATTGGGGTCAGATTGGTTCCAATTTGGCCCACAAAGAAAGACACAAACCTCCACAACAATTTTCTTTTCGTTAAATTGAGATAGACTGTTAGAAAAGCTGTGTAAAAGCTTTCTGAATTGGATTTCACCCTGACATAACTGAAATATATCAGACAGTTACAGAATGGATGAAAAGGTTCAATTTTTCCTCACATTCTACAATAGCTTTGGAAAAGAAGGGGAGGGGTGTATATGCGTGTGTGTGTGTGTGTGCGTGTGTGTGTGTGTGCTGATGTATTATCACTGTGGTATTTCAGTATTCTCTGCTGATACCCGCTCACATTGTAAAGACACTCTGATTTTTCCAGTCCTAAGATGCTTTTCAGTTAATTTTGTTGCCAGTCTGTTTGTATTTTGTGAACTCAATAAACCCTGTGTGCGTGTGTGTTTGCGCCCCTCAAATATAAAGTGAGTAATTAGTTTAGACTGTAACAAGTTTCAAGGTGAGAACACTGTATAGGATAATATTTAATCATTTAAGAGTTTGTCAGAAGCTTAAGTGCTTAGAAAGAGCCTGAGCAAATGTGTTTTTTATGGAACATAATGATTTATCCTCAGCAAGGTCTGCGCATTTTGGTACGTAAAAAGAAAACATTTATCAGCACAGTACAGTATGTGTGTTGTCTAAAGGCTGGAGCACAGCATAACATTTGGTATGAGCAACAGTATCTGGTAAGGACTGCCCTCTCAGATGCTCTCATGTCAGCTGCAAAACATCCTGAGGGATCTGAAACCATGTTATGATCATTTCCTCTCCGCTACCTCGCTCTGGGAACAATTCAGCTGCTCTACTTATTACCTTGTTACATTATTGTTATTTCATTATTGTTACATTGTCGTTCTTCACTAGGATCACATGGGGATGCGGCCGCATTCCTCTGATTAAAGACACCACAGTAATGGAGAAATAAACAGGTGCTGCTTTACAAATGGAAATGCTGCTTCAGAACAGTTTAATCAATGAAAAGAGAGTAAGTGTAACTACAGTTTATCATGTTGTAATTTATGTCAGCATTAGGTGCTTATTACCGTAGGCTGCACATTTCAGCCAGAGGTCATTCACAAACAAGCTAGTTAAGACAGTGCGTTTGCTGATTCAATCACTAGGCTATGATCACGTTATGTTGGTGTGCAAAGTTTGTTTTGTCACATTTTTATGTTTGATGTATTCATTTATTCCCACTGCTTGATTGTTCATCAAGAAATTGATTGACATGAGAAATATGCTTAAACACTTTTTTTGCCTTGAGTTAGATGAGAAACCACTGTATAGGAAGTGTGTATGTAGACAGCAGCTGGTTAGCTCATGTTAGCTTAGCTTAGCTTAGCTTACTGTAAAGAGTGGAATCAGGAGAACAGCTAGGTCTGTCCAAATGTAACAGTATATACCAGGACCTCTAAAGCTCATTGGCCAATACAATATTTTCACTTGTGTAATCTGTACAAAACCCAAAATGCATAGCAACTGAAAGTCAAATATACAGTAATATCACTGTAATGTGAGGTTGCTGTTCTCTTTTTAACTTAGTTTGTTATATAAGTGTGGGCCCGTATTCACAAACATTATGAGACAGACTGTGCTTTGAGACTAGGCTACGACCGTGAGCCTGCTAGCTGCGAACGTACAGTAGAAATGAAGTGGATTGTGCCACAGTATGAGACATGAAAACCTTGTAACAGTTTGTGTGATCACTCTGCTGATCAGGGGTTTGGAACAGAAACGTCATCAATGCTGCACTGAATTGTTTTCAGCTGCCAAATGTATTAATGCTGTTTTCACTGCCGTGATTATCACTGTACAATCTAATCTGTAGCTTGTGATTAACTCACTGTTGTTCAGTGTTTCTCTTTCCATCATGTTATCCACTGCTTAATTAACTCTTAAGCCTCTTAAATGTCCTCCTCTATACTCTTAATAATTTTAATGTTAGGGGCCCTTTTAGGGGCCAAGATGTTTTGTGAATAACTTTTTACTACACTGCAGTATCACATGCATGTACAGTAAAATACAAAAGGAGGAGGCAAACAAATAAACGAAGGATTAAGAATTACAACATAGTTATCAAACAAGAGGTATAAAACTTAAACAGATACTGAAAGTAAAATAGAGACTGATGGTAAAATCTTCCACTACCTCCGTGGAGTCGAGTGAATAGAGTACTGCTGCCACTGTGTCAACTACATTTTAAAAATGCTAGGCTTTACCATTCAAAAAACTTACTCTGAGGAGTTCCGTAAACTCATTTCCAATGTTATATGGCATGGGATAACAGTAAGGCTGTCTAGACCATCCTAAAGTTGAGCAGCTGCTGCTGAAGTGCTCCTCTGCAGCTGGCACTGACCTCTAACCTTGTTATGAACCAGGGCAAAAGAAAAAAACTGTTTTGCTTGCAAGGATCAATAAAGTATTGTGTTATTATATTATGTGGCATTAGAGAAAAGGCTTGGCCATATAGCCAAATAATGTTTTGCTGGAACTCCACTTAGGTAATGTTACAAAGTAGAGCATGATGCTACATGTTTATGTGCTGATAGGTCTCCCTTTCCTATTATTTCTTAGAAGCGGGCCTCCAGTCTTTAGAATGAAGATTTCAGTTGAAACTGTACGACAGTATCACTTTGCCTTTCTAACAAGAGGCTGAGGGAGTGAACTGAGGGAACAGAAGCAGAGAGTCGGGGAGGAGACTCATGCGGTA